GTTTATAATTAAAGCTTTTAGAGTGCAGAACAAAGTAACCTGCAACTTTCAGGCAAATATATGTATTTCAACTGTGGCAAAGATTTATTTAGAAGCATTTCACTGTGTTTTGGGTTTATAAAAAACAGTTATTTAAAAAAAAAATTATTGCTTTCAGGATGGATTCTAAAAAATGCTGACTTAGTTAAAGTTTTTCTTTTTTTTAAACAAAACATGTGGCAGGACCGGTTAAAGAAACCGTCAAAATGCTTTACATAACAGACTGAAGGGGCTGTAGTTAAGACGTCTTCAGATCTGTTGAAATATATCAGAGAACTTGTACAACCTAGCGTGCTGAGCAGCGGATGATCCCTGAAGACAGTGGAGGACTGTGTGGGAAGCAAAGGAAAAATTGTGTAACTGACCTTGGGTCAGGTTGCGAGGCACTGAAGCAGACCTCAGCGTGGAGCTTTTAAAGCAGGGGCCTGGATTAAAAGAAAACCTTCTGCTCAAGCTACAAATAGATTTATACACAGATTAAAAGTCAGGTACAAAACCTACGTGGTCAATACCACCATCTTCTAATGTTACAGAAAGGTTAATTAACCTGATCAGATGCAGAAACATACAGAAAGCTTTCCTTTAATACAATGGTTGCAACCTAAACTTAGATCCCGGATCAGCGAGTGTGCAGCAGATGCACGCTTTCATTAGCATAGATAGCTTCACCTTGGGGCAATTTGCATGTAGATGAACTTGTACTTATGCACTAGCATGCAACAAACAGCGACGGAGATAAAAGAGAGATAAAGAGATCAGAGAGACGTTACATGCCGACAAAATAGTTGTTGTCTTTTGAGGCGGTGTGTTTCGCCGGCGTCAAGCAAGGCTAATGGGAGTTAGAGTTATTAGCAGAAGTAGATAATTACACAGAGGGGTAGTCTGACGGACGGGAACAGAGAAAAGAGAGAGATTATAAAGCGACCGAATGTAAGAATCCGAGGGAAGAGAAAAGAAAAGGCCTCGGTCAAAGGAATGCTGCAGCGTTTTTCTCAACAACAAAAAATGGATTAAAGAAAAATACGTTTTTCTAGTAAGAATCTGCCATTTTCAAGGATCCATGCAGGTTCTTTTTAACTATTTCAAAAACACTAATATTCATACTCCTTAACAAAACTTTATAGAATATGTGAAAAGACACAATAGCGCCCCCCTAACACAACCTTCACTGCACACTGCTGGTCAGCTTGCTGAAAGAAGCCACATCTTGCAGAGTCATTAAAAATATTTTTAAAAAGGGTATACAATTTATAAAGAGGCATCCATTAATTTTGCCTGCTGTAAAGTTGATTGAAAACTATTAAAATAAATGTTTGCTGTTTCCTTTGAATAAGATCAAACAAATCTTGACTCGCCATACTTTGAAACCAAAATGTTAACTTTGATCTTTGCATCATATTGGGAGAATTTCATACCAACCCATGCCTGGCAAGTTCAGCAGGTTTATAGATTTTTTTGATGGTCTGGTACACATACATAAGGGGTTTAGACAAAAAAAAAAAAAAAAAAAAAATCAGCTATTATTTCTGGTTTATCTGCGGGTATAATTTCCACAAAGACATTTTGCCTATAGATTGGGCAGATATCAAGAGAGAACACCTTCATGTTCATAAAGCAGCAGCTGATGAAGTAGGGGGTGTGATAAGATCAAGAGTGCGCTTGTTTCATTTGAATAATATCCACTACCCATATTGCAATAAGGACCCAACTCGAGTTCTTCTCTCTGTGAAGTTCATCTTTTTTAATTGACTTAAATACAGTCTCACATTTGTATCTATCAAACAGCAGCAGCTACAGCTGGTTAGAAACTTGATCTCAAAGCTAAAATAAATCTGGGACTCAGAAATCAGAAAAAAAAACATGAAAAATAAGAATTTCCTCATCAGAAGTGCAAAAAAAAAAAAAAAAAAAGATTAAATAGTAATAAAAAAATAAAGTTTAGTCTCTAATGTTGAGTTTTGGACTGACGGTAAACAATGGACGTTTCTCCAGCTGTGAGGAGATAGAGCCCCACCTTCTATTGAAAACCAACAACAGCGCGGATAACCCTGCATCTGATAAGTGCTGTTAGGTAATTTTGGAGCAGATGAGAGGCTATTGTTCCCAGAACAGATGCTATGTCGACAGCGGGGCGAAAAACAATCCTGTAACACAAGATAAGAGGTATCTGTGATCTCATTAGAGCTGGTAATGTCAAGCTAGCAGGGTATGAAATGTCTCTGCACCAGCTATGATGACAGGGCACTTATTGAGGAGATGCAGGGAAACTGTCGTCATTTCTTATGAAGGATGACCATCATCTAAATATTAACGCTGGTTTTGTATCAACACCATCTAAAATGCATTGGAGAAGTATTTAAACCAACTCCTTCTGTCTAGTTATTATTTTTACATTTCCTCATGAAGGAAACGGCTTCAAATTAAAGTAAAATCACTGACTGAACTCTGGAGATGATAACCTGCTCTCTGTGATTATACAGTCCACATGTCGGCTCAGGCTGATCTGGACATCCAGCTCCTACGGAGGATGTCTGCAGAAAAATGTCCAAGGTTGCTTTCGCTCTGACAGCCACTAACTTTTACAGGCATTCATACTCCTGCACATGCACGCATGCTTTCTCCTGCTTCCATTTAAATGCAGCGCTTGAGTCCTCCTCGCCCTCTGGCTGACAGAGCGGGTGACAGGAGAGCGGGACAGCATCGCATTCTGCAGAGAACATGACCACTCGACAGAAGCTTGCTGTAATAGGTCCATGTTTTGCACAATGCATCATGTACGGCTGCATATGTGCCTTGTGAGTGCGAGGTGACGAAGCTTTTTTTTATTTCTTCTGGGAATAAAAAAAAAAAAGAGAAAAAAGAGCAGCTTTGGTAATTAACACAGAATTTTAACCATGGGTGTGAAATGTCATTAAACTGTGGTTGAGTCCAGTTTGCATAAATTATCTTCTAAGCCCCAAGCCGGCCTCGTCTTTGCACTTTTATTCACAGGCATGAACTATTATCCACACAGCTGAGTGGAATGCAGATAAGCTGGATGCGATATTAGTCATGTCATTAAAAACAGCTTAAAGCCATCAAAGGTAGAAGCGTAACAAAGGGAGAAGGAAAAAAATCACTGGTTTGAATGCACAAAACCGTTATTAAATTGCACTATTACTATAAAAACAAAACTTTTAGGTGGTTCACTAAAATTGCATTTGAAAAAGAGAGCACTAATACTAGAAAATAGAATCTGAAACTTTGTTTTTCATTGAGGCCCAATTTAACTCTGATTTAAATCTCTGTCTGCTTGGCTTCACACTCAATTAAAGTAAACCTGATCAACCTTACAAAAACATCTTTTTATTTTTTTTATACGGAACTGTTGATTTTTTTTTTTTTTTTTTTTCAAACCACAGGGAGAAGTTCAAAAGAATCAATAAGAAGAGGTTGCTAAAATCTATAAAAAGAAAAACTTATTTTGGCCCCAGAAACAACACTAAATACCCACAAAGTGGTAACACTGAAACATGGCTGTGGCAATGTCCTGCTCAAGGGATTTCATTCAGATAGAAACTTTTTTTTCTTTTCGGTTGAGGTGGGTGAAATTATAGAAATATGACATTTCAGATACTATACAGAAAATAGGGGTTTCAACAGAGCCTAATCAAAGTCTTGATGTTGCCAATAGAGGTTTAAAACACAAAAAAGAGAGAGCCTGAGTGCTGAAATGGTCTAAAATGCTGCTTAAACAAAGTACTTTCTTAAGGGTGTTCATACTTAAAAGAAATGCTTTTTGTACTTTTTAGAAGATGTTTTTAGAAGAACTTTTTTTTCCCTACATCATAAAAAAAATTGAATTTATTGGGGTTTAGGCATTCAACCTATTTTAAATGAGAAAAGGAGTCATTAAAAGTGTCTTGTCATTTGTTTTTCAAATATAATGTGAAGTTTCTTCTTTATAGAAAATTATTGTATAAATTTAAGCAGCAAATTGCTGATTTGTGTGTTTGGAAAAATTTTTAAGATAATTTATTTGTATATCATGGGTATTTTTAATGTTAATTTTTTACTTATTTTTAAGAGCTCAATATCAGTTAAAGGGTATTTATCACAAATAATCAAAACTTTTCTTTTTTTTAGTTTTTAACTACATTATAAAGCTATTTCTTCATTATACAGGCAAAGTGAGTCTTGATTCCTGTATCTATGATTAATTCTCATTAGTTCTGCTGTCCGGTCAGCAGCCCTACTTTGTCCCGTAAAATCCAGTGCTTGGAAGAAAATGTACGATTTTCCCCACAAGAAAGCGCCTACTTTGACAGTGTTGCATCCACATGGTATAAAAAAAACAAAAAAAAAACACCCATTTTCACCCATCAGGAAGAGGGGATGCTAGGTAAAGCCTTCAGGATTCAGGCAATTTTGAGACAAAAATACCCTTTTAGCAGCTAATCTGCACAGGGAGCAATCCTTTTTTAGCTAAGTCCTGAAAAACTTTTTTTTTGTTTTTGGCTGCGAGAAGTATCAGACTTTGTTCAGCTTTCAGAAGTACTGTGATACGACAACGTCTTGAAATGAACGTAACAGAGATGGGAAGAGGCAAGTGTTTTTCTTCAATGTTGGAAGAAAATAGGTATGTTTCATAACAAATTATTACCCAGTGGTGAAAAAGGTATTAAACTGTCCTATATTTGCCTGTAGGTGACTTTGAAACGTAAAAATACAAGAAATAATTGCAGATAAAAAAAGATTCATGTCCTGCTAATGTTTCGCCATGTGTTTTTGTGTCTTATCTGTATCAGAAACATGAAAACATAGGGAACAGGTGGATGATAAAGGATAACAGACAACAAAAAGCAACAAGAAAGCTATAAAACAGAAAGTTGAATTCAAGTCAAAATGGAAGCATTGTTAACAAAAAGACGTTTATAGTCGGGTGGAGGGATGGATGAAAGGAAGGCAGGCAGATGACTCACCATCAATCCTGCTGACCAGCTCCTCCAGGGCCTTGACTTTCCTCTGAATGCCTGGCTGAGCAAACGTATAGTTGTCCTGAAGAGAAGACAGAAATCAGACAGTCAATGCGAGCTTTTATCTAGAATAGTGGAATGTCTTCTTAGCGTTTTCTTTTATTCTTTGTGGTTATGCCTTCTATAACTTTTCTGGCTTTTCTCTAAAATGCATCCATTTTCAGTAACATCCAATATCAAGAACCAGGTGGGAAAAAGGATCTTCCATATTGGGTCAAACAGATGAGGACAAAAACAAAATGAATAACACCATCTTTATTTTATTATGTCATCTTGCGTTTGGAATTTTTCCAAAACGCTGTAAAACTGATGCTATTTGGTAGGAAGCTAACATCATCATTTGAGAGTGATGTTCTGCAGCCACTTGGCCCGAGGGTCAGTGTTTTACAGCAAACACCAAAACAACCGAAGATTCGGTTTAACAATACATCCTCACAAGTTCAGAAGCTATTACAGATGTCAAACGTGTTTTAGGAGACAATTTCACATCTCACATAAAGTCAGAGGAATCTTCTGAGAGTGTAAATAAAAAAATAAATAAAATAAAAAAAGAAAGCTCAATAAAAATGGCAAGGCAAAACAAACATCAATCTGTTGCAGAAAGCAAAAGGATGATTATGACTCTATGAGAAATTGCTATTTGTTTCAAATGGTGAGGATTCTCATTCCCAGTCCACTTAGATCCCATCCAGCAGTCCACTGTGAGGACCTACTTATGTCCAAGGAGAACTTGAACAATTGATGGCAGTGCTTTAAATTCTGCTGGTCCTCATCAAAAAAAATGAGTCAAAACTCCATTTTGAGACTAACCTTTCCTTTAAAAAAAAAAAAAAATATGAGTATAATAAGCCTGATCATAATCACAGCAGTCGGCAAAGTCAGACAGTTGAGCTTGCAGAATACAATCCGTGTGGGATCAGCACGTAGGCATTTAAGTGTGTGCAAGTGTGCTCGAAACACACCAACATGATGAGGATTACGTTTCCTTGAGGGGTCATTTTTCGGCGTGGCTGGAGAACAGCTGATGAGGCAAACGACCCCGCAGGTGGAGGAAAAGAGGGGAGAGATGGAGATTGAAGTTGAGGAGGGGAAGGCGAGTTGCAGCAGAAATCTTTTGCTAAAGGAGGGGAAAAGAAGGAAAGCAAACAGCAGCTCCAGCTGCTTTAAAGCCAACAAGATCCTAGAAGATAATGCAGCATGTCTTCCACATAAGGCCGGGGTTAAACCTACCTGCTGGTCAGAAGCGACAAGAAATGTACCAAACCTTCCATCATCCCTACAAGGAAGACAAATTCTACCTTCTGATTAAGTTTTAAGAAGTACAATCTTGGAGGGTAATGGTGCTCTAACTAAAGAGAAATGACCCAACACTAAAAAAATGTAACCATCACCCTGCTATGTGGACCATATGTGCTACAGGAGCAGAGAACCCAGCTAATATCAGCCTATTAAACCTGTGCTCTTTATTAGCAGCAGAACTAAATGTAAATTTAGCATTAAATGTAGCATTACTAAACAGGGTCCTGTTTTTTTACACCATTTATTTCCTTTATCTTAACAAAAGAAATCTCTAGCATAACTAGACTACACTGTAATAATAAAAAAATACATAATTTAAAGCAACAGAATACATTTTTTATTGAAGTTAAAGAATGTTTTTGTTTTTGGTTAATTTCACAAACTTCAGTATTTTTACTCAAAATTCTACTGTTTATTTATTCTGAAGGTAAGTGAATGAAATTAAAACCTTCCTCTTCTGAACATCTCTGGTCACAACAAGTCTTCGTCTCTCATCTGCTATCCTCTTTCATTAGTAATATGGGTAGAAAGGATCCGTCACAAGCGCAGATTTTCATGTCTTTGAATGTATTCCAAAGCAGAGCTGATGTCTTGAATCCCAGGAATGCGAGTAGCTATGGCGACATGCAGCTTAAGCTCTCCCATTTACAATACCATGACGGGTCATTTATCTTTCTCTTACAATTCTCACAAAACACTTGCCTCACTCAGCGTTTATCCATTAGCTTGATTTCTTGTTTGAGTTTCCCCACCATAATCCCATCCTCAAGTCATTAAGTTTCACAATTCCTCTCGTTCCTCTATCTAAAATACCTTTTAACTCCACTTTGTCTCTTGTTCATTTACATTTGTTCGCCACCTCCATATTCTGCCCCTGAGCCTCCTTGGCTTTCTCTTTTTCCTACCACTCCGCCGTAATGCAGTTAGGAGCTAAGCAAGTGAGAGGGCCAGTGCAAGTAATTACATTTGCATTATTGAAGCTGCTGCCTTTAATCAACTGTCTTTCTCTCCCTCTCAGTTCCTGCAGGCCTTTTCTCACATCGCCTCTTAAACTGCGATACGCCTCCTTGGTGCATCAATGTAAATCGGAAAAAGCACGGTAGCAGGACAGGAGGAGCTGGACGATGAGCCTTTTCTGATTGGATGAATACGGTAAAACAAGGGAACAGTGTCCATCACCTTCTACCACTCTGTTGCATTAGAACGGCCAGGGGCCAATTTGTGGCCCCTGTATCAATTCTGTGCAGCCTCTTAACAGCAATTTAAGAATGATTAGCTTCTCTAGTACAGGTTATTAATGCAAATGGAAGTTTTATTCTCCATCAGATCAGAAGTCTTTAACTTGACGCTCGCAGTCCTCTGGTGGGTCACAGAGGTACTGCAGTGGGTTAATAAAATTAACATTACCGGTAGCTTTGTTTTTTCACAAATAAATCAGGCATAGTGACTCTGCAATGCTTCTTAACCTCTTAACATCCACCTCATTTTGGGAAATTCTCGCCTATTTGCATACCCAAATGGAAAAGCAAATAACTCAGGAACTGTAAGCCCAAATTACATGTGTGATGCAATATTTGAAAGCTAACACCTTCTATTTTCTGAATATATACATGAAAATTGGGTGAGTAAATCACCCAAGCTGCATCAATCCCAAGCTGCATCAGTTCAAACATGACTCAAAGATGTTGTTTTTTTGTTCTCGAGAATAATAGGTCTTTTTTGAACAGCAAATATAAAGACATGCTTAGTTGTTGTGGTTGCTTGGTCATGGTACATTCTAACATGCTGCTATATCTCTGTTAATTGAGCTTTGGTGCTCGTCAAGTCCATAAAATGAACTAGGTGGTTAAATTGTGGAGAATCTAAGCTTTTCAACGATGTCTAACATGTCTATACTGGTAAACATTTTAACAGTGTAATTTTCATGCATTCTGAGTTATTGGTTGTAAATTATTTAAAATAGGTTGCTGGTAAGGTTTTAAGAGGTTAAACTACAGTTAAAGTGCTTTTATTATCATTAAACAGTTCCCAAACGTCTGAATTGATACCTGATACAGGCAGTCAATCTTGTTTTCATTCGTTGTATTTATTTACCAGGCGGAAATTAGCTCTAAAAGTTTCTTAGCTAAACATGATCAATCTTTTTCGCCAACATCTCAATGCTTTGACTAATGTCAATCCTTCTGGCGCTCTGCTATAATATACAGTTTTCTTACATAAATTGAATTGAAATTTTTGTCAAATTAATATGCTACATGTGTCATCTTTTGTGGGGCAAAAAAATGATAAATAAATTTAAAAAAAAATCACAATATTGTTTTTCTTTTGGAGGAGTACATGTTTTAGCTAGTTTTGACTTGACATTTTGCCCCATGAGACGAAACATTTCGACACCAGAAACAAAAAAAAACTTTTGAAATGGTGCAAATGTATATTAAAAGGTTATACTACCGTTATAAGAGAGATGTCAAAGTGGTAGTGAGAAGGATGACTAGTTAAGGCTTATTTTATTTTCACAACTCCAGTTAAAACCTTTAATATCACTGGGATACAAGCAGCTATTCCATCAGCAGGTACCAAATATCAACAATTTCCTAAGAGACCAGTCTTAGGTTTGTTGCCTTTTCTCAACATCAACAACATGACATTTCTGCCCAAGGCCAGCAGCTGTATGAATCAGCCTTATCCTCTCATCTTCAATGTTGATCATGTTGCAATGCGGACAAGCAGAGGAATGAACAACCTTTAGTAACTGAGATTAAGACTAAATCCAAACGCTTAACTCAAATCTTGGTGGATTAAGCTCTTAGCGAAGGGTTAATCAGCCAGATGGATGAAGGCTGATTTGAGCAAAGTCATTCTGGGTTGTAACATGGATGTAAATGTTTATTAGTTGGAATATTTTTTACATAGGGGTTTTATTGATTTTGTTACTACCATTTGGACATTTATGGAGAGATATTTGTGCCATCGGTTTGAGCGCGCAGGAACCAATCCGAGCGCGCAGTGAGACAACACGCGCGCGCGCAAAACCGGTCTGGCGCGCGCTCAACTCTCGCGCTCAGTTTCATCTCTGCGCGTGCTCGAATCCGTCTCTGCTTGCGCTCGCTCGACCTGCTCTCTCTCCGCGCTCAACACCAGCTGTGCGCTCGGCTGTTTCTCCGCTCGCTCGACTCTCTGCGCTCGCAACTTCAGCAATGTATGTAAATGAACCATACCATCAGCCAATCACACTCAGCTTCTTTTCATCCAATGAAAGCATTCCTTCCTTCTTCTTCTTCTTTTCTATCATGGCGGATCGCAAGCAACTTTAAGGTGCATACCGCCACCTACTGTTCATGAGTGTGTAGCAACATTGTTTTACATCTATTAAATTCTATTTTTTAATTTTGCATTCTGAAGATAACTAAATAATTCTTTCCTTAATCTATAAACATCCTTTATATTTCCTTTATTTCCCAATAATCCTTTAAGACTCCATTCTTGGCCTGTCATTTCAACTACTCTTCTCAATTTTTCCCTTTCAGGTTCATATGTTTTACAGTTCATTAATATGTAAGCATTCGTTCCAAATACTACATCCGGTTAGATGAAAAAATAAATAAATAAATAAATAAAAACACAATCAGGAAAATCAAACAACTCTTACAGTTATTTTGTCAACATTCCTAAGATAGTACTATAAAATATCTTGAATTATCTCAAATAAACTTCAGTAAAACA